TATTATATGGCTAAATTATAGGCGAAATGTAAATAATAAAAATGCAAAAACTTTTAAATTATTTATTACAATATTGATAAATTTACTAAACTCATACACACTTGATAAATTCACAACTGGCCTAAATCCCTTGAGGATGTCACAAAAAAAAAGAAAAATACATATTTACAAATACAATACAGACACAATAATAATTTTCAACAACACAGAAAAATAATATTAATTAATAATTGTATTTAGTATAAAAAAAAAGAAATCTAAGAAAACAAAACTCTTTTCGACCAAAGCAGCACCTGTTGATGTATTACATACATAATAGATAAATAAAATAGGTAACAACTGGTGTATAACAACAGTATTATCGTAACATTAACTGGCCCCTTTGATAAATATTTATTGTATAATAATATCTAACATAAGTCGTATTCGATCTTATAAAGATCGACAAAGCACCACATTTATTTCGTTACGAACGATATAAACGATATTGTTCAAAATATATATTTTTTTCTCATGAATATTAATAATAATAATAACTGAACAACTGTTTAGTTTAACTGTTTATCGGATCGGCATAAATTGCATGTAGGTACTGCAATTGCAGTTTATTATTAAGGCGTGATAAATCGTCTCTGTTAGAGGAGAATATGAGAATAAAGAGAATAAAAAGATAAAAAAACCCATCGCGAAAGCATATGTTCCATGTCGGTCCATTATTATCCACGCCGTTCATCAATTAGAGTCTTAACCCCATTCTTTGGTAGGTCAACAGTTGATTGAGTTTTTATGTCCCAGACACTTCACGTCGAGAATGGCTTCATTTACAACTAGCTGAATGATTACTATATATTTACAATTCTATTCTTTTTGAAAATCTTTTTTTTTATCTAACCATTCCAAGGAGGGAATAATACAAAATGGAACGTTACTTTTGGAAAATTAAAATATAAAGATTCCTCTTCAAGGTTTGACGATTTTTAGTGGGCATGAACATAAGAATATTCTTTCAATATAATAATCAATTTATGTTTTCATGAAAATCTAATTTAAATTTTGATATGCCAATTTTTAAGTAGTTGTCGATGATAATCGAACTTTAACTGGAACACATCGGTGTAATCGTTTGTCAACCGATATCACACTTTGGTAGTAAGGTCCAACGGGGTTGGTCGATGGAGACCTATCCTTTTGACCTCGTGTTCTGAATCACAGTCACTTTCTTCTTCGTCCGCTTCACTTCCTGCTCCCCTTTCGGTCATTTCCGAGCCGGATCGTTCGCTATGAACTGGGGAGGAGCCCCTGTCGCTGCACGACTTCATACTGAGATCAATGGGGGTGTCCTGAATAATCGTTTCCTTGGTTACCTCGTCGGGCGTCGGCGTCCTTTGCGATTGGAGGACGGCGTCCAGGAATATCCGCTTGTTGATGGCTTCGACGCCTGGATTGTGGTTTCTGATTAGTCGATTGTTATTATTATTATTGTTGTTTGCGGTGGCGGTTTGAAGGAGTCCTGCCGGATAGAAGGGCGGATAACCCGGCGGAAACAGGAAACCTGGAGGTGGCAGGAACGCAGGCGGCAGAAGGTTCGGGAAGAAAGGCAAGGGGTTGTTTCTACGACCCTCGCTCATTTCCACTGACGAATCGGAATTGTGGGATTCGGGAGAGCTGACCGAAGGGGACGCTGTTGTTTTGTATTCGTCGAAACCGAGGAGCATGAGCTCGTCCCTTGTTCTGGGCAAGTGGATGAGAGGGGATGGAGGCAATGCACCAAGAAGTCCGAAATTGACATTGGCTGGATGATGAGGGGATGTTTTCGGCGGGGGCGGTTTCACGTTATTGGGGATACCGCTACCTGTGACCTGGTTCTGCTGCTGTTGTTGTTGCTGCTGCTGTTGCTGTTGTTGTTGCTGCTGTTGTTCCTGAAGGAGACAGTGGATTTTGAACCAGTTGGAACGACGTCCGTAGCGGGATCCGCTCTTCGACATGCCAACCAAGAGACATTTTCGCAATCGACAGGCTTTGCATGCCGTTCTGTTCTTCTTGTTTATGACGCATTCTCCGTTGTTTTTGCATTCCGATATTGAACTCAAGTTGTTGTAGGATCGTCCGAAGAACGACTGGAATAGAAGAAACAATTCGTTAGTAAAGAGGGAACGTACTAAAACTAATAAGTTGAGTTTCTGAATTAAAGTACTCAATTGTGGTATTTGGAAGAAACTGGGCAAAGTTGATGAAGGAATTTCGGCCGTAGTTGTTGTCAGAAACCTCTAGTTTATGGCATTTAAATTACTAGAATATTTTGATTACCTACTTCATTTGTTTTAATATTTAGGTTAACAAAAAAACGGTATGGAATTATTGTATTTTATGCTAATTACTAAAATTTAATGACATTGCGACGTACGTTCTCTAATCTTAAGGCATCATCGCACTCTAATCAATTTTAGATAGATTAAAATACCTACTTTTAAGTCCTTATTTACTTACAAATAATATTCATCGATAGTTATTTATCATTGGTGTGCTTCATATCAAATCTGGATAAGTTAGGTTAGGTTTTGATATGCTAGTATATTAAAATTTATCATTAATGATTTGATATCATATTCACGTGACTTTCATTTTGTTTTGCTTTTACAGTTTTTGTTATTAAATAAAGAATGATATATTTTGTTTAAAATTGCTCAAAACTAGAAGATGAGAGATAAGTAAATCCAAAATTTAAATCTATATTTATGGGGTGCAGTTATGCCATGTGATCCTGTTAACAATAATGCACTCTATACGTATGTGTTCACTGATACCCTGCTTCAAGGATATACAGGTCTGACGCTGGAAGCTGGAGGAAATTTTAAAATGGCGTGGATGCGCGGTGGCAAAAGTATGCAGTTTTAGGTATAACGACTGCAGCCCTCTTTCTTCAGTATTCCTATCAGGGGCGTAGATTAAATATTTAAAAATACGAATCCGTGAGCAAGTAATAGACATACAAACAGAAGAACTAATTGTTGATATTGGTGACAGTGATAGAGATTCCCATGATGACAGTGAATGTGAAAACTGACTATAAAACAAAAGTAATAGATTTATAATTAAGTTTTGTTATTTATTTAATTCCGAATACATATTTGGGTTAGGAATAAAGTAATGCCACGTTTTGTCCTTGACGACTTATATATAAAGCGATCCTTTGCGTGAAGGAGGATCCTCAGTGAGTGTATGCAATGCATCCTTCTGTTGCAAACACTTATACGATAAATATAGTCGGATGGCGGACAATAATAAGAAAAGAATTGTCCGTTTCCGGAATTGCATCGTCGTTGTATTAAAACGAGGCTCTCCGGTGGATTGCGTAAGAGAGCGCTCGCGCACGCGGCTGGCACAATGCCACAATAATAGTGAAATTGTGCATGCAGAAGTTATTGTTGCGCTAAAGGGCGTCATTGAGCTGGTCGGGCTGATGGACATTTGGAGCACTAGGTCGGAAGCGGTGTGATGTAAGTAAACCGTGGTTGCTGTCGTCGTCCGACAACTGCTGCCGATGCGGTGCGGCACGCCGCGGCGTTGCCTTCTTCTTCGACGCCGGATCGATTTAAATGCAGCGAACGCACTTAACACTTTCCCCACGGCGGAATTGGCGGCAGCGCCTCGCGCGCTCCACTGCCCAAGTGTGTAATAGTTGACTAATTGTTCGTAATTGTATTCAAATCGGACCTCTATGTAAATGAGCTTGCCGCATACTGCACGATGGGATGAGATTTTAGAAGTTCCAAAGATGTCGAGGAATTGGGAAGTAGGTACACAAAGATTTTCCATTGGGATTTAGAAGAAATAGGAAATCACTAAATGTGGCTTTTTTAAACGAAAAGTGGAAAAGTATCTTCATGATTGCATACTTATGAAACCCTACGATTTTGAATCATTGAGCCTGCCTCTACTCCTTCACTCTGTCAAAGATTCTGGAAGCCTTCATCATCATCTCCTAAGCTCCAATTAGTACGATCCAACAGAATTTTTTCCAAACGAAAATAACTTTAGTCCAGATAAATCTAAAGTTAAAATTAGATATCCAGTGTGTCTCAATAACTAAATCTACACGACTACCGTGTTTTCCAATTTTGGCCAGAATTGCTTCACACTGTATCTTCGTTGTAAATTTACTTTAAAATCTGAGAGACTAACGATGCTCTACCGATTTGGCACGATTTTAAATTCGCTATTAGGTAGGTATTACGCAAATAAACTAATAAATCCGAAAGCATGCATTTAACAAAGGGTTCACCCACGTTCAAATGAAGAAAAGTTTGGAAAACTCCTCAAAAATGAATTTAAAATGGCTTTTATTTATCAAGTTGGGTTCTATTCCTACTAATTTGTGTTTATATTATAGTGTGATTCATTGATTATGTCTTCTTGTTTCTCTTTTAAGCTTTTAATTTTATTATATTTCAACAAATACCGGTTAAAAAAAATTAGTAACGCAGGTATAGTTAATTTCTATAAAAACAGGATTCTTAGTTATTTAATACATTCACTGTTTTGGTTTGTAATGTTATACAACCACATTTACTACACGGTGTCACAGAAATAAGTGCCGAGCCTGCAAGAGGTGATAGAGAACTATAAAACATAAAAATTAAGTAATGTTGTATGTGTGGTAGTTCACAATTTTCGAGCAAATTTAGTTGAATGTACAGGTAAATTCAATTTCGGCCCTGACAGAGAAATACAGTCCGCAACGCTGCACTCAATCAGCTGGTGATTACCTGCGTCGATGTAGCATTTGTTTTGTATTTTTTTGTTTATGAATTGTTCATTTGTTACATTAGATTAAGTGTGATTCAGGGCATTCAAACTAAACTATGTTTATCTAGTTATTTAGTTGTTCGGTAATCGGCAATGTTTACATTTTCTTATCATGTGGTTGCAGAGTTATTATCGCACTGCGCTATTCGGTAGACACCTACGTTACCAATTCACGCACAGGACCGGCTTCGGGTTGTAAATGGTTGTGATTTTCTTTAAAAAAATGCCCTTAATCACTCTGCTGAACTCAACGTGCGATTCTTTACTGTCTCTAGTTTATATACCCTCCTACGTTCGCCACTTATTACTGTTACATCCTGTATATGCGATTACACGAGTCCGTAGACAGTTCCGCATGATACGCTACTGTGTTTCATTCAATGCATTGTAACAATGATATCGCTTGCAGGCTGGAAGCAGCTATAATGTTAGTTTGTTATTCGTAAATAGTCGCGGTCGCTACGGCTCCTTAACTTCGTGCTACCTGCTGACGAGGAGCGCCGGCGGAGGCGGCATGCTTGAGGTGTTCCCCGGCCACTGGGTTACGTCATTTTCACATTTGATTTCGGACCCGGTCCTGCGTGAAAACTCGGCCAAATTACGCGCTCCTTAGCTCTACAAATTGTCGCAAAAAAAGCAAAAACTTGTTGTTATAGGGCTCAATGTAGTAGTCAGCGGTTTAATGTAGTGATTTTATATGCATTCTTGTTTGTCTTTTTTCTAGTCTCATTTCAGACTCGGCATTGTTTCCGGTATTGAGATTTTTAAAATATAACGGCGTAAGGCTTTAGGAAGTGAAACATAAATGTATAAGTATTGGTACTTAAAAAAAAAAAAAACGGACGGAACGGAAAAGTTGTTGCAAAGGCAAGATTAAACTAACAAAAAAAAAATCGAAGTGGTCTGTATTCTGTCGAAACTGCCAGACGCGGATCGCGATTTCGATCTTTTTGGATCTCATCAGCGCGTCGCAGGCAGCTCCGACAGAACACAGACCAAC